TTGATTTTAGTTTCAAGGAGAGCTAAGAAGGATAAATGATATTGCAATAAGTGATTCTTTACTAAAAGTTGCTTGGAGGATTTATTCAATCCCCTCACATTCCAGAATAACAAGTTCATTGAGTTAGCCCCCCTCTGTCAATTGAAGAGGGATCACAAATACCAATGCTCACATATGAATTGCCTGAGAAAGCCTTCCTAACTTTGCCTCCTTGAACAAGAGTCCAGGAATCATCATTATTATGTTGCTGAGGGTGCTCAATATGCATAGGACTAAAGTTTCCTTTATCACTGCAATTTCCAATTTTTTGTTTCTCCTGCAATATCCCTTTGCCTTTTGATTGCTTTGGTAGTTTAACAAAGTTGTTTCTTAGATTTTAATTCCTGAACATTTAAGTCCTGGACATGCACAGAGTGTGCAGGATGATGCATAATATCATTCATGTTGATCAAATCATGCCTCATAGCCTCTGTTTCATTTCCATCTTGAATGTGCATAGCATGCACAGAATGCACTGGACTAATATTTTCTTTATCGCTGCAATTTCCAAAATTTTGTCCCTCTTGCATTTTCCCTTTGCCTTTTTGTTGGGTCCTTTTGTTTTGATGATGTTTAACAAATAATTTACTACTAATATTGTTTGTCTAGTGTTTGTATTTTCGTATTTATTCTAAGTAAATAACGAGTTGGAGGATGGATGGAATCGAGGATTCACAATCATATCCAATGGAGGTTGGCGGAATTGTGGTATGAAGCAATACAATTCAAGTTGAAGATCCAAGTTCAAGCTTTATCCGTAAGTTTACCAAGAAGAGCTTCATTGAAGATCACAAGCTTGGGTAATTTAGTTTTAGGTTTATACTTGTGTGTAGATACTTTAAGCTCATATTAATCACACACACACACACACACACACACACACACACACACACACACACACACATTTGTTGATTTTATCAAAATATAGGTTTTTTTGATAAAATATTGTTTTATTAGTTTATAGACTTCAATATCAGTTTATACATATTTTATTAAGTCTATAAAATCAGCTTATAGAGTTTCAAAACATGGTTTAGTCAAAATGTCAAAACAAGTGTGTTTACATTTACATGTTTTAGAATATTTTGACAAATGAAGAGTTTTCTCATTTGGGAGGTGATTTTTGAAAACCAGTTTTTGTAACATGTGTATTATCAGGTTTACAATCATTGTCCAAAGTTTTACAATTTTCTGATTTTATTTGCTATTTTTAAAAGAGGTTTGAAAATCATATTTTCTGTTTTAATCAGGCTGATACAGTGTTATCAGTCGACTGATGAATGTGTTCAGTCGACCGAAAAAAATGCCTGGAATAACAAAAAGTTTTTGTTTTGTTTTGGTCGACTGACCAGTCGACTGATGAAGTCATCAGTCGACTGATAAGGTCCGTCAGTCAACTGATGAGCTAAAAAACACCTCTAACGGTCAGCTCATCAGTTGACTGATAAAAGTCGTTAGTCGACTGATGCTGTAACGGCTATTTTTTTTAGTTTTTGTCCTGTTTTGGTTTTTTGGTCCATTTGCTGGGTTTTCTTGATCTTTGGGGTTCCCTATAAATACCCCCTCATACCCAGCTCTGTTTTCATCCAAGAAAATTGTTTTATACAAGTTTACAAAAGTTTAACAATGGTTTAAGTTTGGTTTAGTATTTGTTTGGTTTGTGAAGAAGTTTTCACAAGTGGAGGAGATCATCTTTATTGTTTGAGCTTTAATCTCCAATCTCTCCATCTTGTTTTTCAGAGAAGAATTTCTAAACTTAATACTAGCTTTGCATTAATTATTTATTGTTTATCATTTTTATTAAGCTAGTGTTTACATTGAGTTTATATTTGATTTTCTCTTTGTTCACACACAACCTATTGAGCTTTAGTATTTTCATACATTGTATAATTGGGGTTGTGGGTTAGTGACATAGAGCATCTCCAACAGTTTCTTCAAAAATTTCTCCAAAATGGAGAAGTAAAAGTCATATTCTCCAAATTATTTTTGCTCAAACTCCAACAACTTCCCAATTTTGAAGAATCCTGTATTTATTATAATAATAGAAATATTCTACATCCTTATTTTGGGATGCTCTTATGCATTGGAACTGCTCCCATGGTTTTTTTTTTGTAATTACTGATTTTGTTTTATATTTATTTTCTTCTTCATCCCGTCTTGAAGAACGTGTTGCATTCATGACAAAGCTTTCCCCAAATATTTGAAGAATACCCCAGATTTGGGGAAGACTCCCATTTTTTCTCCTCGATCCCTATTTTGGAGAATGAGATGGAGAATCTGTTGGACCAAAAAAAACCCAAAATTCTCCAAAAGTGAGAATACCAATAAAATAGGGAAGCTGTTGGAGATGCTCTTAGAGTGCGAGCTTATATTGTGTTCTCATTCATATTAGAGAACAAACATTTGTTGTATCGAGCGTTAATTGTGAGGTTCACTTTGTATTATACTAGTAAACCAAGAGGAGTGTGTGGTGAGAGACGAGGTCATCCCAAGAAGAGTGGGGTAGGTGGTAAGACCTAGAGAGAGGTTGTAGTTCCTAACACTTGAGGGAGACACGGGCTAGAGACCAACACTTGAGGTGGTAGTTAGTATGTTTACATTGTGAGTGATTATAAAGTTTTCGGTAAACTAGAAAACCGTAGTGTGAGGTGTAAACGTTATTCGGGTGAGTGTAGAAAACCCGGTTATGATAGTGGAGATCTCCTCGAGGTGAGGAGCGGAGACGTAGGATGAAAGGTCCGAACTCCGTGATCATGTCGTTTGTTTGCGTTTGTCCTTGGCATTCATTTATATTCGTGCTTATTGTTTATATCGCCTTGCTTACATTTATTTTGCCCACTATCTAGTATAGTTTGTTTACCCTTGTGATATTTGTATATATATATATATATATATATCTCTTGTGCTAGGATATAATTGTTAGTAAAGTTTTAAATTGGCATAAATCGGATTAAATTAGCATAAACCCTATTCACCCCCCTCTAGGGTTCTTTCCTAGTGGCATTAGGGTGCTTTCACTTTTGACTGCTTAGGCTGATAAACATTATTTTCCCTCATAGCCTCTATTTCATTTCCTTCCTGAATGCGCACAGCATGCACATAATGCACAGGCTGAAGAGATGAACTATGCATCAAATCCTCCTTAGCCTAAGAATTAACCTCTTAGGTATGTACAACATGTCCATTATTCTGTTTAAGCATCAAAGTCTCTTTCTCCTTAATTTGAGAATTATCTTCTTGGATGCGTACAACATGCACAGGTGGTTTTCCAGTATTCAGTTTTGAATTTGCTACACCAATATTAGATTCTCCAACTTTTTTGGGAATCCATCTATGAATCCTAGTTTTCCTCTTGCAAAATCTAGTCTCATGACCCACTATTTTGCAAATGTCACACCATCTAGGCTTTAGTTCATAAGCCACCTTCTACCTGTATTTTTTCCATTTGGTCATTGGATAGTGATTTCATCAGGTAGTATAGAGGGCATATTTACTTTAACCAACACCCTTGCATATGCAAGTCTCTGCTTATTAGCTGTGAGCTTGTTAGTAGCAATTGGCTTACCTATAATATTGGCAATTTTGCTAATGCCTTTTGCGTTCCACAAGTTAAGCCTCAAACCTAGAAATTGAATCCAAATAGGGTAGACACATTCAGATCTCTTCTCTATGTCTTCATCTATAGACCAAGGCCTTAGTAGGATAGGCCTGTAACCAAAAAACCAAGGACCCATCTCCAAGGTGCTTCTCATCTCATCCTTACTCTTAAATTTAAAAAGAAAGATGCCAACCTTGAGAAGACACACTCCAGGTACATCCAAATTTCCCCATACTTTTAGCACAAAGGATTCCATAGCTTTGAATTTAGCATTTAGACCCAAAGCTTGACCAATAAGAGAAAATTACCAAAAGAGACCCCTTCATTCCATTCTTCCTCATCAAATGTCACATAATCTTTAACATCATATGGCACATAGTCCAGATTAAAACCGCACCCAGGCTTTTTGTTATCAGCAAAGAAACTCACCCAGCTTTTCTTTGTACTGATGACAGGAGATAGAACTGGCACATCAATGGAAGACTAGCGGTGGGAAATCATGTTTATCTCCATCAATAATTCCAGCAGCAGAGACATTATGAGATAAATTCCCATCCAAATTTATCACAACAGAAATATTTTCATCGGAAACTAATAGAACAATGACTGAATTTAAAATCACAGAGGAATTCAAAGGACCAGGATCTAAATTCTTTCTAGAATTATCATAAAGATTCTGAGATGAAGAATGATCATATGAACTCTCCTCCAAATCAAGATCATCCGCCCATGAAACCCTAGAAAAATTACCAGAGTTCGAAGGCTTACATAGGTGGCGCGATTGAACTCCAATCAACTCAGGAGTATGCTGAGATTGAAAAGAATCCATCAAGAAATTGTTTGAGCAAAGCAAATTCGACATCGACACCTTCATCTCCTCACCTTTAGGACCAGTAGATACCATTAGATCTGAAGAGAATTCATCATTTTCTTCATCATCAAGGTGATCTTCAGGAAGAATCGAGGTTGAAGTGGAAGCTTTTAATCCAATTTCTAGGATTTTCTTTCCATTTTTACTCCTTTTCTCCTCATTTTGAGACAAGGCGGGGGGTGCAAGTTAGCAGGGCAAATCACGTGCTAACATGCACCAAGAAGATGACCGCCAAAATTTTTCCGCGAAAGACTTGGAATTATTGGTATGCCAAATGTGGAAATTTGTACTTTTGACCTTCAAATGAAATTTAGTTTCTCTTGAAATTGCGATATTGATCAAAAGAAGTTAGAAAATTCCCTATTAAATGTGTTGTTGATCTTATGAAGTGTCACTTTAATAGCCATACTACTAATCAGTGTGCTTCATAGTATTAACCATAAAATGAAAAAGACAGCTAATTAATTCAATGTTCTCATATATGGTGAAGAAATTAACTTTCTCATTATGTTATGAGGAGACATCATCTCCTAGCTGAACTTTATTTTCTCAAGCAAATGCATGTCCGACTTTATTGTTTCCGCTTAAACATCAGAGGCAGTTCCTCGGTGCACGTTTCATATAAATGTAACAAATCCTTATTACAGATCGATCAACTCAAGCTAAAGTTTTTCACTTGCAAAACTCTTCTATGAACTCCACGATATTCTTATCTGAGCTCCCACCCTCGCTGACAGCCTCCTTAGCCAACTCCTTCCATTTGCCAGCATTTCTCCTAATCTCCTCCCTCCTCTCTCCCTCCATAACCTCTCCAATCCTTCTCTCCAACTCCTCTCTCTTCACAACCCCACTCCCATCCTCAACCCTAGCCCTAACCCCAATTCCCCACACATCTTCAATATATTTGGCATTCGTTGTCTGATCCGTCCACTGTGGCGTGCAGACCATAGGGACACCGAGTGCAATACTTTCAGTAGTCGAATTCCATCCACAATGTGTCAGAAAGCAGCCAACCGCGTCGTGTGTCAACACTTCAAGTTGGTTGCACCAAGTCACTACTAGTCCTTTGGCTTGAGTCTCTTGTATAAAGTTTTTGGGGAGAGTGGCTGCCTCGGATGCACGAACGACCCAGAGAAAGCTGTACTTGGTGTTGACCAAGGTTGATGTGAGCTCGTTGGTTTGGTCCGAGCTTAAAGAAGCCATGCTACCTGTATCAAGAGTAATTAAGGAGACTATTTATTATTAACTGATTATTGGAGAAGTTGAAGTAACACAAAAAAAAAAACAGAATTGGCGTGTCTCCCGTAGCTGTAGTTGGCGAGTTGCTGATATCACACACGTTCAGAAATATTTACCCAGATGATCGACGCATCATGATCATAGCTGATGATTTGGATATGCATAATATTAGTAAACAGAGAGCCTGTCTGTCTCTCCACGGTTCCGATCGGTGTATTGCTGACGTAATACACAACCACATCTGTTATATGGTTACGCTAATGATATGGACCGCATGTATAAATGTTTTCACTTCAGTTATACATCAGCCAACACTATAGTGGGACAAACGAGTTCTCGTTTACTTATTATATGCCAAGCATTGTAGGTTGTTAGTAGAAATTAATAAGAGAGGAAAACTGTAAGAATAAAAGATTACCAAAAGAGACGTAGATAACTGAGGAGTGAGGCTTGGAATTGAGCCATTGAAGGTAAGGAGTGGAGTCAGGGTTGTGGAGGTTGAAGGCGTAGTTGGAGTCTGAGGGTACACGATCGTCGAGGTATGCAGATGGTAGGGTTGGCCCTATGGATTTCACTCGCCATGATGATTTCATCCATTCAAATTCCTGCGCTTAACATACAAAGTTTTACATGATTAATAGACAATAGAAAATTGATAATGGCAGATAATTTTTATACCACACAATGTTAATTCATTTACTACTCCAAACTTTCTTTTTTGAACACACTGAAAGATCAGGAAATATCTATGCAAGACATTGACATCTTGTGACATTCATGTGATGAATACGATAATGAAGATATGACATGTTTGAACATCAGATAGCCTAAATGCTAATAGAAAAGTTTAAGAATAAATTGTGGCCGATTCCTTGAAATTCATATGGTATCATAAAGAAGAACATGAGTAGTTTGGTTATACAAGTCTGAATTTTTATGTTAGTATAAACATTCAATCGGTTAGAATTGTTCGGCCTATCAATTTAATCTTGAAACACATTCATATGTACTTAATTGAATAGAAATAAGATCGAAGATTAGGAATGCGAGAAAAATGTTGGGAATTTAACGCCTAAACCCCTAATGCAACAGAAACGCAGTATAGAAAAAGTACACCAAGTTTTAACGAGGTTCGGCAACTGCCTACGTCCTCGGGAGCCACACAGATAATTTCTTATTAATCAAACAAGAAATTATAATTTAGGAGCAGATCTCAAAACTGAGATTTCTCAAATAAACACTGTAGCTACAGTGTTAATAATTAAAGGGTATGAACCCCTTTCAATTCTCACTTGAGAATAAATGAACTCCACAATATAAAACCCCTTTTCAATTTCCTCTCTCTCTTCTTAAATCTCTTTTCTTAATCTCCCCTTAAGATTCTCAAATCCTAAGCGCTGGAGATAAATCAAAATCGCAGCAGCGATTTTAGGGCAGTCCGCCGCCAGAGAAGAAAGTCGGAGGAGAGGGGGAGAGGCACTGCAGCAGCATTCGAAACCCTAGGCGATGGGGGGTTTTTATAGGGGAAACTCGATGGGCTGGCGACAGCCTGTCGCCAGCGGCCGCTTGGACGCCAAGTTCGAGCCGACGCAGAGGTCGGATCCTGGAGCTCGTCGGAGCTCCTCCGCCGTCGGAGGTTGGTATCCACCCCCAAAATTAACAATCTCCCACTTGGAAACCAAACCGACGCCAACGGGCTATCTTACCAAGCTCCTCTCCTGTGTGGCTCCGCCCTCATCATCTATGCATGAAGGCCAACTGAAGTTGCGCACAACTCCAGTTTCTGAACTGTCACCGTCTTTGTTAACATTTATGCTGGATTCTTACTTCCTAGAATCTTTTCCAGTTTTAACACGTCATCTTCCAACAGGGATCTGATGAAGTGGTATCGAAGCGCAATATGCTTCGTTTTAGAATGAAATGCTGAATTCTTCGCCAAGTGTATCACACTCTGGCTATCACTGTGCAAAACATTCTTCTCCTGTTTGAAACCCAGCTCTGTTAACAAACCCTGAAACCATATCATCTCTTTACTAGCTTCAGTCACTGTAATATATTCAGCTTCTGTAGTGGATAGGGTAACGATCTTCTGTACCTGTGACATCCAACTAACAGCTGTAGTTCCAACGGTGAATACATAGCCGGTGGTGCTTCTTCGGTGATCAACTTCGCCGCCGAAGTCTGCATCTACGTACCCTTGCACTTCTACCTCTCCCTTACCAAAGTGCAAACACTTCTGTGTGGTGCCTCGTAGATATCTCAGAATCCACTTGACCGCTTCCCAATGAGCTTTTCCTGGATTCGACATAAACCGGCTGACCACTCCCACTGCATGGCCAATATCTGGTCTCGTACAGACCATAGCGTACATCAAGCTTCCGATAGCTGAGGCGTAAGGTACCTGAGCCATACTCTCTTTCTCTTCTTCTGACTGAGGAGACTGATCCTTCGATAAACGAAAATGGCTGGCCAAGGGTGTGCTCACAGGCTTGGCGTCGCCCATGTTGAACCTCTGCAAAACACGGTTGATGTACTCCGTCTGAGATAACTGCAAGAGACCTCTCTTCTTATCTCTCGTGATTTGCATTCCAAGGATCTTTTTCGCTGGACCCAAGTCCTTCATGTCAAACTCCTTTGACAGCTGCTGCTTCAAATTCTTGATATCCTTCATATCTGCTCCTGCAACCAACATATCATCAACATACAGCAGTAGGATGATATAGCTGGACTGATATCTTTTGAAGTAGCAACAGTGGTCTGCGTTGTACTTCTGGAAACCTTCCTTGTGCATGAAGCCGTCAAACTTCTTGTATCATTGCCTTGGGGCTTGTTTCAGGCCATACAAGCTCTTTTTGAGTCTGCACGCCAGGTTCTTCTTCTTTTCTTTTGAGAAACCTTTTGGCTGGTGCATGTATATCTCCTCTTCTAGATCTCCGTGAAGAAACGCCGTCTTCACGTCTAACTGCTCGAGATGAAGATCTTCAATTGCTACAATGCTCATCACGGTCCTGATAGTATTTAGCTTCACTACGGGAGCGAAAATATCGGTGTAGTCAATTCCTTCTTTCTGCTGGAAACCTTTGACAACCAATCGGGCTTTATATCTCCTGGAACCATCCTGCTCCTCTTTCACCCGGTACACCCATTTGTTGTGGAGTGCCTTCTTACCCGTGGGCAACTCAGCTAGTTCCCACGTCTGGTTTGATATGCAAGCTCCCACTTGCTCGCATCTCCACTCTGACAAGCTTCATCAAAGCTTTCAGACTCTCCTCCATTTGTCAGCAACATATAATTCATGTATCTGCTGTTAGGCACAGGAGGACGAGTACTTCTCCTTAACATCGGAGCTGGTGCGTCGGGCTTCTGCGCACCATTCTGTCCAACATGCTCTTCTGGATGAGGATCTTCTGCATTGGGTTCTTCCGATAGGTTACTCGGGACATCATCTGCATCTACAAATATTGACTCGCTCTCTGAGTCATCTGTCTTGTGCATGTCCTTGTACATCACCTTCTCGTTGAATATCACATCTCTATTGCGGATCACTTTCTTGTTTTCGTTGTCCCAAATGCGGTAGCTGAACTCATCTTCACCATAGCCGATGAAAGTGCATTTCTTTGACTTGGGATCAAGCTTATTCCTGCCTTGATCACTAATATGCACGTAAGCTACACAACCAAAAATTTTAAGATGTGAGAGTTTTACCTCCTTTCCGCACCATACCTCCTCTGGTATTCTGTGCTCCAATGGAACCGATGGACCTCGGTTGATCAAGTAAGCTGCTGTGTTGACCGCTTCTGCCCAGAACTGCTTCGGTAGGCCTGATTGTACTCGAATGCTTCTGGCTCTCTCTGTCAACGTTCGGTTCATCCGCTCAGCTACACCATTTTTCTGAGGCGTGCCGGGCACGGTTCTCTCCATTCTGATCCCGTGCTCATAGCAGAACTTCTTGAATCCGGTGTCTTCATATTCACCGCCATTGTCGGTCCTGAGCTTCTTTATTCTCAGACCGGTCTCATTCTCGACCATAGCTTTCCATCTCCTGAAAGCCTCAAATACTTCTGACTTATGCTTCAGGAAGTAGACCCACACTTTCCGAGAGTGATCATCGATAAAAGTCACGAAGTAGTGTTTTCCACCAATGGACGCGGTGGTTGTTGGTCCCCACAATTCTGAGTGAACGAGCTCTAGCTTCTCTTTCCTGGGGGTTCTACCACTTGTCTGAAAGCTGACTCTCTTCTGCTTTCCAAGTATACATTCTTCACACATATCCATCTCCACTGACTGCAGTCCTGGGAGTTTTCCCTTTGTGTGCATGATTTTCATCCCCTTTTCACTCATATGACCGAGTCTCTGGTGCCACAGCTTTGAGGTCTCATTGCTAGCTGCAACTGAGATCGAACAATGTGCACCTGCTGTCATATACAGGGTACCAGTCTTCTTGCCTCGGACAATCGTCATTGCGTCCTTTGAGATCTTCCAATCATCTCCATGGAAGGTCGTGGTATATCCTTCGCCAGCCAACTGGCCTACGGATATTAAATTCTTTCTCAGGTCGGGAATATGCCTGACATCCTTCAGCTCCCATACTGACCCGTTCAACTTAATTTTCACCACGCCTTTGCCTACAATAGCACATGGTTGATCATCACCAAGATATACGTATCCAATATTTCCGGGGGTATACTTCTCGAAGAATTCTTTCTGAGAGGTAGCATGGAACGACGCTCCTGAATCTAACACCCAAGATTCCTCCTTGCTCTCCAAAGAGCATATCAATACGTCGTCTCCTCCTGAAGTGGAGGTGACATTCACTTCTGCCTTCGCCTCCTTCTCCTTCTGTGCACTCTTGCACGGATTCTTATAATGCCCGGTCTTTCCACAATTCCAACACTCGATAGCCTTCGAGCTGTTGCTTGGATTCCTTGATTTGGACCTCCTGTCCTTTGATCTACCTCTGAAGTTTGATTTTCCTCGTCCGTTTCCTCTGGTTGAATTTCTACCTCTTGACTCTGTATGCAATACTGAAGAGGTTGTAGCTTCACCCGTCTCTCTCCGTCGGATCTCCTCACTGAGAACCAAATCACGAACGTCGTCGAACTTCAACTTTTTCTTTCCCGACGAGCTACTCACTGCCGTGACTGTAGCATTCCAACTCTCTGGTAGGGAAGATAAAAGTATCAACGCCCGAACTTCCTCGTCAAACTCAATCTCAACTGAACTCAATTGGGTTGTAACCGTATTAAGTTCATTGAGGTGTTGTGCTACTGACGCGCCTTCCGCCATTTTTAGATTGAATAACCGCCGCATCAAATGAACTTTATTTGCGGCTGATGGCTTCTCATACATATTTGAGAGAGCTGGCATAAGACCTGCCGTGGTCTTCTCCTTCGCTATGTTGAACGCAACATTGCGAGTCAACGTCAATCTGATAACTCCGAGGGCTTGTCTATCTAGAAGGTTCCACTCTTCTTCCTTCATAGAATCCGGCTTCTTCCCCGATAGTGGTTGATACAGATTTTTCTGATACAGATAATCCTCTATCTGCATTTTCCAGAATCCGAAATCTGTTCCATCAAATTTCTCAAGTCTCATTTTTGCCTCA